AAGTGGTGCCAAGAGGAAAGTTCAAATCACTAAGTGCCTTCATGAAAAATTAGGAGAAATCGCACACTAGCAACTTAACAGCATACCTGAAAGCTATAGAATAAAAGCAAACTCACCCCGAAGAAGCAGATGACAAGAAATAATCAAACTGAGGGCTGAAATCAACAAAATAGAAACAAAAAACACAATATAAAGAATCAGTGAAACAGAGTTCATTCTTTGAGAAAAATCAACAAGAGAGACAAACCCTTACTCAAAATAACTAAAAGGCAGAGACAGAATATTCAAACTGATAAAATCTGAAACAAAAAGGGGAACATAACAACAGACACTGAGGAAATCCAGAAAATCATCAGGTCATACTTCAAAAATCTGTATTTCACAAAATTGAAAAATCTAAAAGAAATGGACAAATTTATTGATAAATACCATATACCAAAATTAAATCAAGATCATATAAACAATTTAAACAGATCTATAACTCCTAAGGAAATAGAAGCAGCCCAGAGTTAGATGGTTTCAGTGCAGAATCACACCAGACTTTCAAATAAGAGCTAACACCAGTACTCCTCAAATTAGTCCACAAAACAGAAATAGAAGGAATATTGCCAAATTCTTTTTACGAAGCTACAGTTACCCTGATAACCAAACCACACAAATATTCAATCAAACAATGCAAATAGTCAACAAGGAAGAGAATTACAGACCAATTTCCTTCATGAGCATGGATGCAAAAATATTCAATAAAATACTGGCAAACCAAATCTAAGAACATATTAAAAAGATCATCCACAGTGATCAAGTGGGCTTTACCCAGAGATGCAGTGATGATGGTCCAACATACAAAAACCTACAATGTAATCTACAATATAAACAAACTAAAAGAAAAAATCCACATAATCATCTCATTAGATGCTGAAAAAGCCTTTGACAAAATCCAACACCCCTTCATGAAAAAAGTCTTGGAGAGATCAGGGATACAAGGAACATATCTACATATAATATAACTATATTATAAAAAGCAATATACAGTAAGCTGACAGCCAACAAAAAATTAAAAGGGAGAAACTCAAGCAATTCCACTAAAATCAGGAAAAAGACAAAACTGTTCACTCTTTCCATATCTATTCAATTTAGTACTTTAAGTTCTAGCAAGAGCAATAAGACAAAAAAAGGAGATTAAGGGTATACAAATTGAAAAGAAAAAAGTCAAACTTTCACTATCTGCAGATGATTTGATAGTATACATACACAAGGGTCCCAAAAATTCTACCAGGGAACTCCTACAGCTGATAAATACTTTTAGCAAAGTGGCTCAAAAAAATCAGTAGCTGTTTTATATACAAATGATAAAAGGGCTGAGAAAGAAATCAGGGAAACAACTCTCTTATGGTAAAAACAATATAAAATATCTTGGGGTAACTCTAACTAAGCAAGTAAAAGACCTGTATGACAAGAACTTAAGTCTTTGAAGAAAGAAATTGAGGAAAATATCAGAAGATGGAAAGACCTCTCATGCTCATGGATCAGTAGGATTAACATAGTAAAAATGACCATCTTACCAAAAGCAATCTACAGATGCAGTATAATCCCCATCAAAATTCCAACATAATTCTTTACAGATCTTGAAAGACCAATAATCAACTTCATATAGAAGAACAAAAAATCCAGGATAGCTAAAACATAGTAATAAGAACATCATGGTATTGGCATAAAAACAGACACATTGATCAATGTAATTGAATCAAAGACTCAGACATAAACCCACAAACCTATGGACATTTGGTTTTTAACAAAGAAGCCAAAACTATAAAATGAAGAAAGCATCTTCAACAAATGGTGCTGGCATAAATGAATGTTGACAGGCAGAAGAATGCAATCAGATCCATATCTATCTCCCTACAATAAACTCAGGTCCAAGTATATCCAAGACTTCAATATAAATCCAGTTACACTGAGGCTGATAGATGAGAGAGTGGGAAGCAGCCTGGAACGCACTGGCACAGGAGACAACTTCCTGGGTAGAAAACCAGTAGCATAGACACTGAGACTGTCAATTAATAAATGGGACCTCATAAAACTGAACAGCTCCTGTAAGGCAAAGAGCACTGTCAATAGGATAAAATGGCAGAATGGGAAAAGATCTTCATCAACCCCACATCTGACAGAGGGATGATCTCTAAAATATATAAAGAACTCAAGAAATTAGACATCAAGAAAACAAGTAATCCAATTTAAAAAAGGGATGCTGACCTAAATAGAGAATTCTCAACCGAAAAATCTCAAATGGCTGAGAAACACTTAAAGAAATGTTCCATTATCCTTAGCCATAAGGGAAATGCAAATCAAAATGACTCAGAGTTTATCTTGCACTTGTCAGAATGGCTAAGATCAAAAACACAAGTGAGAGCTCATGTTGGAGAGGGTGTGGAATAAGGGAAGCATGCATCCATTGCTGGTGGGAGAGTAAACTTGTACAACCACTTTGGAAATCAATATGGTGTTTTCTCAGAAAATTGGGAATTGATCTACCTCAAGACCCAGAAATACCACTCTTGGGCATATACCCAAAAGATGCTCAATCATACCACAAGGACACTTGCTCTGCTATGTTCACAGAAGCATTATTCATAATAGCCAGAACCTGGAAACAACCTAGATGTCCCTCAACTGAAAAATGGATAAAGAAAATGTGGTATATTTATACAATGTAATATATTACTCAGCTGTTTAAAACAATGACATCAGGAAATTTGAATGCAAATGGATGGAACTAAAAAAAATTATACTGAGGTAACCCAGTCACTGAATGATGAAAATGGAATGTACTCACTTATAAGTGGATATTAATTGTAAAGAATAACCATGCTACAATCCACAGACCCTTGTTACCTAGGTAACAAGAAGGCTCAATAGAGGTGATCTCCTAGTTGGACTGGGGGTGGGTGGGCATGGGAATTTGAGGAATCAGGTTGCAGGGTGGTCAGAGGGGGAGAGTGTTGAGAAAGATGACTGGAAAGAGGGGCTTTAAGGAGTTGAGCAGAAGTCTGAGGCAAGGGAAACTTCCACCAGTCTACAAGGATGGCTCCAGCTAAGACTCCTGGCAGCCGTAGATGCATAGCCTGATCTGCCATCCCTTGTGATTGGATTGGTAACTACCCAGGTTTATACCAGGTGCAGGTGGGTCCAGAGACCCAGAGCCCACTTGAGTTCCAGGAGACCTGCTGAGGAGAGGAAGGAGGGATTGTAGGAGGCAGGGGAGTCAGAGACACCACAGGAAAAACCACTAACCTGGTTCATGGGAACTTACAGAGTCTGAACCACCAGGATAGGTGCCAAAGCTACAGAGAAACCCTGTCTTGAAAAACATAAGCAAAAACAAAAACAGAGTCTGAACCAACAACCAGGGAGCCTACATAGGACTGATCTAGGCCCTCTGTATAAATGTGGCAGTTGTGTAACTTGGACTATTGTAATGGCATTTCAATTGTATTTTAGTAAATAAAGCTTGCCTGAAGATCAAAGAGTAAAACTGCCCCACTGGTCAGCCTTACAGATCAGGCAGTGGTAACCCAGTGGCCACACTAGGTGCTATAGAAACCAGGTAGTGCATGCCTTTAATCGCAGCCCTAGAGAAGATTATAAAATGGGAGGAGCCAGCTCTCAAACACAGTCTCATTCTGAGATTCCTGGAGGCAGGATTGCCATTTTCGGACTGAGGTCAAGATAAGAGCCAGTGACTGGATATTTTGTTTTTCTGACCTTCACGTTGAACCTCAATTTCTCTCTCTGAGTTTTTATTAATCGTGCTTCAGCCTTTTTCTGGGACTCATGGCAATGGGAGCAGGGCTGTCTATAGTGTATTGGGTGCTCTTAGGAACCCGTTCCTCAGGCTGGATCGCCTTGTCTAGCCCGAATACAGGGGGAGGGGCTTGATCTTATGGCAGCTTGATTTGTCATCCTTTGCTGATGCCCATAGGAGGCCTGCCCCTTTCTGAGCAAATACAGAGGAGTGGACTGGGAGTGTGTGTGGGCAGAGGGAGGTGAAGGTAGGGAGTGGGAGGAGAGGCTGTAGTTGGAATATAAAATAAATAATAAATAAATAAAAATATAAGAAAATATGGTGGGTGAGATGGTTTCATCTGGGAGGTCATGTCCAAATTTTAGAATGATAGATCTTTATCTTGGGCATAAATGCAAAAACATAAAGGAAGTCCTAATGTTGTAAAAGTGAAAAACAAATGTTTACAAGGAAAGAGCAAAACGCATTCTACAAGTTGTGGGATTTTCCTCTAGTCTCTCCTCATGTAAGCACCCTGACTTAGTTTTTTTTTTTTCTTTTAGAAAGACCAGCACTTTCTAAAGCCTTCATGCTTTCCTTTGTGGGACTCTAATTATGAATTATTATGAATTATGCACATCTGTTCTAGTTCTAGTTAGTATTAACTGTCAACTTGACACAGCCTAGAATCATCTGAAATGAGGCTCAGACGGGAGGTGGTGGCGCATGCCTTTAATCCCAGCATTCGGGAGACAGGAGGCAGGCGGATCTCTGTGAGTTCAAGGCTAGCCTGGTCTACAAGAGCTAGTTCCAGAACAGGAACCAAAAGCTACAGAGAAACCCTGTCTTGAAAATCCAAAGGGAAAAAAAAAAAGAAACTCAATTGTCTTTATCAGGTTGATCTGTGAGCATTTCTGTGAGGAACTGTCTTCATTATTAGTTGATTTTGGGGGGCCCACCCACAAGGTGGCACTATTTTCTGGATAGGTGGCCTGTAAATGAGTCTGCAAGCACATGGTTTCTGCTTTAAGCTTCTGCTTGAGTTCCTGTCCCCACTTCCTTGAATGATGGACCTGGAAATGTAAGTTATTAAATTCTTTCTCTATGTTGCTTTGAGTCAGAATGTTCTATCAGAGAAGCAGAAATCAAATCAAAACAGCACACCTCAGTAGTGGTCTGTAGTAAAAACATTAAAGTGACTAAATCTCACGAGTCTTACCTTTTCCCCCATCGACACACCTCCTGAGGTGATGATGACATCAGCACGGCTGATACCCTCGTTCAAGGCGTTGAGTAAATCATCTGGGCTGGAAAAATAAATACAACTATGTTAACATAAGAAGGGACTGAAAACTAAACACTTTACTAATCCTCTGAGTTTGCATTATTGTGAGTATAATAACGTGTTCTGTGTGAACTGGAATCCAATGGGTCTCTACAGTGAAGAGTGTAAGTAGTAATGTGGAAAAAGGACTTTGTGTAAAATGAAGTACTGGCTCCTGGCACTTTCACAGGGCTTTCTGTCCAAACAATGCAGTACAGTGAGGAGACAATGGGGGCTGTAGGATATCTTAAGAATTTTGGTCTGTCTACTAATGTTCCGCGTACTGAAACTCACACGTCCCTGGAATTCCTGGGCATGCAAGTTTAGTTAGTCACCCTGGGTGTTGTCAGGATCACATAACACTCTTTAGAGAAAGTCAGGTGTGGTGGTTCATGTCTGTTATCCCAGTATTCAGGAAGCAGAAGCAGACAGATCACTGCAAATCTGAGGCCAGCTTGGGAAGCACAGAAGATTCTTTCTCAAAAAACAAACCCAAACAACAAGTGAACAAAGAATCTTTGAAGCAAGTGACTTGGAGCCTTGAAAACTGGGCTGGATTCTGACAGGCAGAAAGGGACTGGCCAGAGCCTGGATGAATAATTGAGCCTGTGTGATCTTGAGATCAGCATGGACCATGGCTTGGCTAGAGAAATGATGAGGTAGGGTAAGATAATTTTAGAGGTTCCCTAAAGCTTAACAATACAGAGTCTATCAAATAGGAAGTAGAAGGGGAATTCCAAGGACTGTGAAGAGTCAAAAGGTTTTTATTGAGAAAAGAAAGGCTAGAAAAAAGATGGAAGGTTATATGAGTAACAGCACAGGATGAAAACTGGGGAATGAGGCTAGGCACATTCCTGTTTAGCAAAGAAGGCCAGGACCCTCGTGGTATGTATGTCTGTATCCAAGGTCCAGGGTGAAGAGGTACTTTATATCCAGCTCACACTCTCATTTTCTGAGAACTTCTTATTTGTGGAAGACAGCAGTATTTACCTTCTGTCTGTCTGACATCTGAAAAAGAGGGTAAACTTGTCTCTGGCCCTTAGTCCTTCTAGAGTCTCAACTATTCTTTCTCTTGAGTTCCATGAGCTAACTCTATAACCTCCCATAAATTCTTCCTTTGCTTAAGGTCACTGGAGTAAACATTTGTTGACTATAAAGTTATCTTTTACTGTGACTGAATATTTCCCAAATCTCTAATGTCTGTAAAACTAGATATCCTGATACCTTAATGAACTACTTGATAAGGGAGGGGACAAGAATGTTAGTGATGCCAGATGAACTGAGACTGCCTGAGCTTAAATTCTGATGCTGCTACTTGCTAAATGTTAAACCTGAGAAGAGTTAGTTGCTAAACCTCTTTGGCTTCAGTTTTTTATCTGTAAAGTGGCGATAATGGAGCTGTTCAGATATGGAATGCTACAATGTATAAAACACTAAGAAAGGTCAGATGTCATTTATCTAAAATTCTGGCAAAGAAAAATTTTAGGATGCCAGGCATTTCTTCTTTTAAATTTTGGAGACAATCTTAAATTGAGATTTAAATACATTCATGTAGTTTACGGGAAAGGTGACAATGGAAAGGCAGGTCATTTTCCTTGAATCACAGAACAACTTGGGGGTTGTTCTGGATCTCAGAAGCAACCTCCTAAGCAGAAGGGATGAAAATAAAAACTTGCAAAGTGCTTTGTGGGAGGCTCTTTCAACCATTATAGGGACCATTTGCAACTCTTCAGTTAGATGTACAGTAGTACTCATGTTCACTGAAGGCAGAATCCATGGTCAAAACTAAGCCAAAACTCAAAAAAAAAATTTGTAAAATGGATTTTAATGTTAATAGTTAGGTGAACAAGGAAGAAGTATTGTATTGTACTGAGTATTTTAAACAGATCTCATCAGTCCTTTTCAGTTTGATTTTGATTTTAGGTAAAAGAACAGCAAATTATTCTGTTAAGTGGTGGAAATAACAGCACCATAAAGAATGTAGTTCAGGTGAACATCAGCAAAACACAATTTTGTCCTGATACAAGGAAACATTAGTTAATTTTGCCAATCTTAAGTCCCCTCCCCCTTTTATTTTTTGAGACAGGGTTTCTCTGTGTAGTCTTGGGTTTCCTGGAACTCCCATGATAGATCAGACTGCCCTCAAACTCACAGAGATCCACCTGCCTCTGCCTCCTGAGTGCTGGGATTAAAGGCGTGCATCACCACTGCCTGGCCTTATGTCATTTATAACACATTGGCTGTACAGAATTTTGTACAGTGCTTAGAAACAGAGCGTCAATGACACATGATCATGGACTCATCTTTGGAGGTGGACTGTCTTGGCTAGCTGATGACTACAAATAAGCAAACTTTGGCGCTGATTTTCCCTTGTTCCTTTCATATTATTCTGGAAACCTATTTTGTAAAAAGCTGTGTAATCACATAATCACCAATTGTCCACATGAAAAATATGGCTTAATAGATTCAGGTATGATAACGGCTAGAAGACTTAGAATTTCATTATGTTGCTTGTTAGGCTGGATGGTTATTATGCCAATTTCACAGTAAAAGAAAGTGATATTTAGGGAGGCAAAGTAAGTGAGACAGAACAGTAAGTGGCAGCTTTGGCTGGAACTACGGTTTCTAGGAGCTCATTAAGTGTTTGTTCAACCCCTGCTCAAGGAGAAATGATTGCATGAGTTTTACTTGATGGGCATATATAATAAAAGGAGACTGGATTCTTGTGTAAAAGGTATAGGTAAAAATCTGTCTGGGATGACCATCAAAAACTGCAGGTATGGATGTGTTAGTGTAGCTATAGGAAGTGAACCAATATGACTCCGAATCTTAAAATCTGATGGAAACTAATACTTTGATTAGATATAACTGACAGACTTGTTTCCAAGCCATGGATTTACTTTCTTTTTAGGACTCATTTTAAATTTTAAAAATTTTCATCTTACATTTAACAAATATCAGTATTTTCCTATGTTTTATGTCCTTCATAGTTCTTTTACCAGTCTCTTGTGTCTGCTTATGTATCTCTAACTGATCTCACAGTCACTGTGTTGCTAGTACTGGCCTTTAACTCCCTACTACCAGTACTGAAATTACATTAACTACCATACCCAGCTAACTTTTGTGTGCATTTGTGTGTGTGTTCTATGCATGTGGCATGGCTTGCATATGCAGGTTAAAGGTCAACTATGAGTCAGTTGACTCCTCACACTATGGAAGTTGCGAAGACAGAATTCAGTTTGTCAGGCTTGGTGGCAGATACCCTTACCTCCTATACCATTTCTCTGGTCCCTGACTTTTTAACTTTTAACTAATAGAAACTGAGTCACAAAATAGGTAGCAGATGGGTAAATGCAACATTGAGAAGAGTTCCCAGGGAAACAGAATTGCTGGGAGACTAGACAGTGTTAACAACAATAATGGTGGCAATTATTAATTAATGATTTAAAACAAAAGATGTTTTAAATCAATAAACATGGCAAGGAAGTGTAGTTTAGTAATAGAGTACTTGCTTATTATGTCCAAGGCTCAGCATTGTAAAAAGCAAACAAAACTCCCAAGCCAAACTGACAAAACCCAATGAAATAATCAAGATTGATGGAATATGCCTATAATACCACAACTAGGGAGGCTAAGATTGGACTATTGAGAGACCTAGACTATCTGAGTTACAGAGTGATTTTCAAGCCAGCATTTGTAACACACTGAACTCTTCCCACAAGAACAACTGTACAAACAAACACATAGAACCTATTATTTTTAAAAGTTAAAATTTAGAGATGAAGATAAGAATACTCTTTGTTAAAGACTCAAGTTTGTGCCCTAGAAGATCACGTGGTAGAAATAGTTCTAGGCATTCTATAAATGTGTACAAAGAAAGAAATAACAAGAAACTTAGAGAACAGACAAGATGCTGACACAAGAACAAAAGGGATCTCATTATGGGGAAAATGAACAGACGGGGTGGAAAAAGAGAAAGATTTAATTTACTCTGAAAATAATGGGCATAGAAATTTAAAAGGCTTACCAAGTCTATTTAGAACTGATGAAAAAACATAGACCTAAGCAAGTTCTAGTAAAAATTTGGTAATTTCAAGGACAATTTTAAAATTTCACAAGTATTCAGACAGAAAGAAATAATTACTAAGAAAGGAAAAATACTTTGGCTTTAGACCTGTTTGCTACAAAACCCTAAAATAGAAAACAATAAATAAGCATTATTATATCTCTGAGAAAAAGGTATGCAATGCTAGATCTTACACTAAGCCAGCTGTCATTGACTAGTTGGGATGAAAAGAAATAAAAATACAAATATTAGCTAATAAACCACAAGTAATATTCTGGAAATGTGACAGTAAATAAAGTAGAAGAGAGGCTTCATGTCTGAAAATACATAGTTAAACTGAAATGGATGATGACTGAATAAATTTGAGAACTATATTTTTTGTTAAATATTAACTTAAGTTACAGAAACTTACTGTAAGAAAATTTAGTAAATTATAAAACTTAATGCGTTTAACAAAACATCTCTCAGCATTACCTAAAGATTAAGAGTGTAAAAGTATTCTAAGGCTCTCATCTGACTGGTATACGTGTGCATACAGGAAATGAGAATGTCTGCAGGGGGCATTCAGTGTCCCCTTTTTATATGACAGTGAGAAAGACTGTATTTGTCTGTGAGGATCAGTATTTGGAAGGAAAACAACAAAGGGTACTAAAATGGTGTAACTTCCAAAATACTAAAGGATAAAAGAGCAAATGGTAACTGGAGCCAAGCAACAACAGAGCCAGGAAAAGACAATAAAGTTATATAAATAGTAACAAAAGTTAAGATAGAAGCAAAAAAAATTCTGGTAATCATTAACACAAACTCCCTACTAAAGCAAACAGAATAATAACATTTCAAACATATGCAAGATAGTACTTTCAGTTTGAACCTCAAACTCTATTTTATTGTTAATTATAAGAAAAATACTTCTAGAG